CATAGGAAGTATATTAGGCGTAAAGACCGACAATTAAATCCTCGTGTCGGGTCTTCCAAAGAGGAAGAAGCGTTGCATTATGTATGCGGAGAGCCCTGAGTCTGGGGAAGACCGGAAGAAGAAGAAGAAGAAGGTAAGGGAAGATCCGAATGAATACAATATTGTTGCTATCCGCGGAACGGCCGCAAGTTTTGTTCGTTGCGCGGAACCAGCACCCTCCGGCGGTCCGCACAAATAGCAGTTTGACTCGACTATGGAATAAATTAGCTCGGGAGCTTCTTCGGACGATGGAAAAGGAGGGTCGCGCATCAGAAAAAGCAAAGGAGGGGCGCGGAAGCCAGAAAGCGTGGGACGAGGAGGGTTGGTTATCAAGAAACAGGGGTACTTTGGCCCTTAGGCGGTCCTTAATAATAAATTCATATCTCTACGACCTCCTGGTCTCCGTTCAACCCCCTTCTGCTCGTCCTCACCCTTGGCCATCGGGAAACCACGCGGGGGGGGGAGAGACAACTCTGTCCTCCCTCTCACTCGGACTACAAATCTCTTTTTTATGCCGCTTAATAAAACTCGTCTGACATATCTCTGACTTCTACCACTTAATTTTGGCTCCCCCTGTCCACCCCTTATCACGATGCTTATTTCGTCCCTTTTACCCTCGTTCGTTCATTGTTGTTTCTTTCGTTTTCGATTCCTCTCTTGTTTGCGGCTGACACCGTCCCCCTTTTGGGACTTGGATCTTATTCCGTTCCACCCCCCCCACCCCCTTCTCGCGACAAACGGAACGAATTCGAATTCCTTTCGAGGTCCCGGAGTATCTCTTTGTGGATGTTTCGCGAAGATCGATTTCTTCGTTCACTCTGGACGAGGACAAAGTCGAATTGTTGGGAGCGAGACAATAAGAAATAAACCGCGTTCTCCAACTGATCATCAAGGGGCACCATACTTGCCACTAGCGTTTAGTGTTCTTACCTCAGAAATTTGGGATTTATTTGGACTACTTGAACAAGCTATTGGAATGGCTAAAAAGTTCGCTAATAGGCAATTCTGTAAAACTGATGTAATTAGTATTTTTATACGCGACACTTGAAGGTCAAGTTTTTTTTTAATGCAATTATATATTTATTTAGAGATTTTTATTCACCCTCTATATAAATACACAATAACTGGGAGGTTTGAAATATTATTTTAAACGTTTATTAATTACATAAATAAACTGAATTAATTATCTGTAAAATGAATACCTCCAATAAATTAAATCTTAACTGTATCAACTGTCCTGATCTTAATGATCAAATTGGCCGTGAAATTAATAACATTACGCCGTTGTCGGCGCCTTTGAAGTTTCTCGTTTGTAATCCCGACTATAATACACAATATACGGTATTAACTTTGTCGCGTAAAGAATCGGCCCGCATTATAAATGTCAAAAAGAACCGAATGAGAAACACGGTTGAACGAACAAAGAAAGTATTCCGACAGGTAAGCTTGAATAATTGCGAACAGAGGTCGGCCCGGTGTGTTCGCGGAACCGAGAATAATGCCTTTACACATTTTGTTTCATTAAAGCGACCAATTAGTAAGTAATATTCGTGTCCGAAGGTAAAAACCCTCTGAGCTATTGTGTGACTTTTAGAAATCTCGCCAATTAGAAAGCAATTTCCCCGGGAACACGCCCGAGGATTTCCCTCTGGTACACCGGTATATTTACGCTGGTATATATTACGCAGCTTTGTTTCTTCCTTTTTCCACGTTAAGTTATTTTTCCGTACGCATTTACCACTTAATTCCGATGAAAGTCCCCAAGATTTCCCTTCAAGTTAGATTTTGTATACTTGGTAAAAGTATATACAAAGAATTTCATTGTCTCTTCATTGTGATCTTCGCGCGACTTTGATCAGACGTAAATGATAATTAATCAGGGGTCGTAATATTGTTCGAAATATGATTCGTAATCAGGTAAGGTCCAGTGCCCGTTGATTAATAGTTACCAATCACGATAAAAGTTATTAGCCCGCGCTTTGCCGTTCAAATTTAGCGATGATTCCTCAAACGCAAGTTCATAACGCGTTTGATTATTCGACGTGGCTTTTAGCGATTGGCCAATTTCAGGTCTCATCTGCTAGGTAATAATTCAAAATTAGTGTTATGCCAGTGGCCCGTCGAGTCGATCGCTCGGAATACAGCTTTAATCAAAGTTACCGTCGTCCTATCACTGGTCAAAGGTCGAATATGCGCGCCTTTTCCGGTCAAACGATGCCTAAAACCGTTGTTGCCAATTTCGAAATAATACCATTCAGTCAGCTAGACACGGAGACACTTCTTCGTCGATTGTAATTCGTTTTGCATGCAAAAAAACACGTGAATTTTAAATTTTAAAATAGGGAACAAAATTAAATTTCTTTTCACTCCGTGACAGTAATAGAGAGTTGAAAAGTAAGCTTCTTTAAAAGAAAATGGATTCTCGCGTATGTGAAACATTTTACGCCCTTTAAATAATTCTTTTGGACTCCATTTCTTATCGAAAGTCTCTCGATACGTGCAACGCTAATGGAGGGTTGAAAAGTGAGAAAACAAAATGTTTTCCTGCTCATATATGGATTGTTGCATATGTAAAAGCAGTTCCCCTTCTAAATGGTCAGGTTTCATGCCTTCCCGCTAAAAGTCGCTATCAGCTCCCCAGATCGTAACGAATGTTTGATAGAGAAGCGTTTCTCGGGATCGCGATGAAAGCAAGTCCCTCGGTCACTGATTTCCACGAATTCAGCCCCACTTTTACCGGGGGTTCTATGGTCGCGGGGGGTGTGGGTGGGTGGGGAGGGGTAATCGCCAGCAGGATCACCTCCCTTTTTCTTGCCGGCAGCCTTTTATGCTAAACGCTCGCTTCATTTGAATGTCGCTAATGCGAAAAACCGATGCATACTAATGGAGAGTGTTTTCCTCCCTTTCCCAAACCCCGTCGAACACCCGGAGAGATCACCCTCCCTTCGTTCGCCATGCACGTGTCCGTACGTGGCGTTCGCGTGCACGCGCGTTTGCACAACGGCCGGCCATTTCTCCGGCGACTCTTTATGTCATATGCATACATTACGCCGTATACACGGTGCTTCGGAAGAAGCTGCTCCCTGCCATTCAAGATTTCGTTTGAAAAAACGTAACTTCTCGACGAATGCAAATCGCTGTAATTTATGATAACTGTTTGCCACGCTATAGACCCTTCCTAAGCCTCCCGGGACACCCTATAGATAAGTTACACGAGCTACAAATCTCACCTTAAATTAGAACAACCTGGATTGGTCAAAGAAAAATAAAGTGATCTAAAAATTTGTCAAAACTTTTATTATTGATATTTTAGAACTAATATACTGATTAACAAAATTATTCTAGTTAGACAGTACCGAGATTAGAAATATTTTATTGCACTAATATGAGAAAGATTCTTTTTCCCTCAAGACAACGCATTTTGAATAAATATTTCATCAAGAACTAATATACTGTTTAAAAAAATTATTCTAGTTAGACAGTACCAAGATTAGAAATATTTTATTGCACTAATATGAGAAAGATCCTTTTCCCCTCAAGACAACGCATTTTGAATAAACATCAGCGTAAAAAATACTCAAAATCCATAATCGTGAATGAAAGTAACGATGCATTATTTTATCAAACTCACCAGACACTGTTAAATGCAACCTGTTGATTAAATATTAAGGATGTAATTAAACTCGCCATTCCATGTGTTTCGTTCGAGTCACGATCAACAATTAGGCGTGAATTTATAGCCAGAGTTAATTGACGATAATGGAATAAAAGTCTTCTTCGATAAAAGATTAACAGTCGTATGTTAATTTCTTCGGTAATCGATTAAACGAGTTATTGGAAATTCTATTAGATGTTATACGTCGTACTTTGTATACACACAACATCGACACGTTTTAATTGAGTTTCCAGACAGTTTTTGAATAATTGATATATCGTGACAGATACAGAATCATGGATTACGCAAGATCTATTGTCTGGCTCTATTTTAACTGTTGAAAACAGATATTAAGTGACATCGTAAGATCACTCGAGGTATCTAATTTAGAAATTAGAAACCGTACTTCCCCGCCCAGATTTCCACGATAAATTATCCGTGATTACTTAGTGCTTGAAATCAAACAGTGTGACCGAATTATACCTCCCAGATACCTACGTTTCTGAGCGATTTCGCGAACGATTTAATCGCGAATTAATAGATCCCCGCAAAAGCGATCCTCGTGGCTTATGGGGTAATTAATTAATTGCGCGTATATACTTACCGGGGAAGACCGAATTATTGGAAACGGAGGTTCGAAACAGAACAAGCGTTCTCTATTCGATACGTAGCAAATAACGCCACTCCGTTTCGTAAACAAGCATAAAAACGTTAAAATATTCCAGTAATGAATATTTAAGAGAATCAATACGATAATTAAATGTTTATAAAAGCATATGACAGTGGAAAGTTCTTAGGAATCTATTACAAATTGTAAAAATCTTTGTAATAATTTTTCCAGACTATATTATTTTTTTTTCAAAGTCTTCCAGCTTTCAGACTGAAACAACTATAGAGACCACTTGGAAATTTTAACCTTTATTTTTCTCATAAATATTTCTAATTTCGACTGGCAGACAATTTGACTATAGGATTATCGAAACTTTCGTCCATAATATTGCAATTTAAAGGAGGTTGGCTCTCGCGACCGATTATATTTTTGCATGATATTGTCTGGCCAGTGAGCTCAGTAGAATTCACTGGCAAAGAGTAGCTTTTAGTATTTTACCATATAACAGTTTCAATTTTATGGTAATTCGTAACGGAGGACGAAGATAAACTTTTTTCAGAAATCCTGCAGAGGAAATGCTTGACGAGGTACCTAGTTTGCGAACCACTGCTGTACACGAACACCGACGATCCGTCATTAGCTCGACAAACGTTTCTGCGGGACGGTTTAAAGCACGAATAAACAAACGACACTTACCGTACAAGTGAATGATGCCGTCCGTTTCGCCTCGCGGGTTCTTCGCGATACACTTGTAGCTACCATAATCCTCGGCCTGAAAAACAAAACAAAAATACCAGTGGATCAGTTTTAAGCAACTGTTTTCACAAAAACTTCAAAACAAATTAGATACATTTCATAATTTCTGTTATAAAACATTTTTAAAATAAATTATTCACATTCACTTGAACCAAATTTGACATACGATGGATCCATCGATAGAGCATCAGAAAAAAACATTCTGTATCAAATTTGAACCCTCTATCATGTTCGGAAGGGTAGTTATTGGGAAAATTCGGATTAGCGAATTTGTGCCTATTTCCCCTATTTAATCGAGCATGAAAATTATGAAAAAAATCTGGTGCATTGCGACTATTGAGATACGTGTTTGAGAATTTTTTCCGATTTTTCGATTTCAAATCCTAGGCGTGAAAAATTAAAAACGCAGAAAAATACCGATTTCGTATTGAAGCTTTCGAGACCCTAGATTTATATAATTACTGTAAATGCGTATTGTCGTTGGTTATCTCCCTGAATTTTTTCAGATTTTTTGGCAGGGTGTGCCGTAGTAGCAAAAATGAGAAACCGATTTTTTCGGGGTTTTTCGCGTGAAAAAGCAACTTATACTTTGAATTTTTGTATTCCCTTTAATAGATAACTATATTCTGTGGTTTTAAACATTTCCATGTTGAGTAAAACAGTGTATACAAGAAGAATTACTTTCATCTGTTATTAAAAATTCCAAAGAAACCAAATTTTCAAGTCGATCAAATAAATTTGAATTGCAACTAACGAATGAACTCGACAAGAAAGTGACTAATAGAATTATTTAACAAATATAAAGGAGAATTCTTCTTAAAATTGTCCATTTGACCCAGCTTAATTTTTTTAAATTCGAAATATTTATTACACGATAAATACAATTGTCACGTTTACTCGACTTGCCAATTTGAGTAAGACAGTATTGTTGATAAGTTCTATTACAGGCGACTCTCGGTGTCGTTTGATTTATAAAGAACAGCCAAGGACCAAGTAAAAGTAAAACTTCTATCTTTGCTCGTTTGTACTTCTGAAATTTCTCCCAGACGCATTTATTATCCTTGTAAAAGCAACGCGATAAAGATCTCGCGGAAATAAAAGGACGGAGGGCGGAAAATATGAACGGGGGTATATATTTCCCCGAGTCGACGACACGAGGAAGTTCCCTTTTCCGCGAGGACGCGGGAATTTTAAGAACATCCTTTCCATACGTGGAAATAATCCGCGAATAAATCTCGCGAGATGTCCGTGAAACTTTTCAAATATCACCTGTTGGGCTTCGAGGCCGTTGATGCCAGACAAAGTTAAGGTTTAGGAAGTATTTTCTTCTCGATTCGCTAAGACCAGAGACCCGAGATTACTTCGCGGACAGAAAATCTTGGAGTTTTCCTGTTACTCTTTTTTTTTTAACTGGTACAACCTGTTAGTGATCGTGGATCTTACTATATCTCTTCTCGACGTTAGAAAGAAGCAATGTCGAGTCACGCGACCGTCGAGACGCTTTTTGAAACCCGTAAAAGAATTAATAAACATTCGTCGATTTGGTCTTTCTATTCTTGTTTGCATTCAGATTAGATCAAATAACTCTATGATAATATATCAGGAGTAAAAAGGCGCTCATAAGAAACCTGTTTTACGCAAGAAAACATGGATTTTTTTGGTTACACGAGTCTCCTCCCTTAAATCTCTGACTAACCTGCAGCTTGTAAATGGTTAGCATCATGTGAGTCTTGTAGGATCGGTCCCCCGGTGTTGTGAGCACTTTGTACTTGCTGCTTTCGTGAATCATCGTGCCGTCGTTCCTGGTCCAGTAATTCAAAGAAGTAGGATGAGCCTCGGTGTGGCATTCCAACGTGATATCGTAGTCTAAGGGTACACCGACCAATTGGTGCGGTATCGACAGCATAGGGGGGACTGCAACGAGAAAAGTGATTGATTGGCTCATAAATGTTCCAATTACTAGCGATACAAGCGTGCCACCGCGATCGATAACCGTTTCTGCTCGATAAATCTCGAGCTGAGTTTGGCAAACACGCGTCTCTACGCCTTGCGACTCGGCTGGGACCCTCTTCCTACGCGTAACAAACCGATGAAACGGAGAACGAGATCAAATTCATGCTACCATGCTCCGTTTCATTTTCGTTTTCAGTAAACGAACCAACTTTCTAGACAGATGATAAAGAAAGTTACCAGTAATGAGGAAATTTCGTGAAAATCTTCAATTTTTATCAAACTTTTATGACGCGTGGGCGGAGGTTGGTAGATTGCTCGCATTGGATATAAGTTTATTACGAAAATTAAAAATTGTTGAGCTCTACCCCCTGTCGATTTTTCTTAAAAATTCATTTTTCATTTTTAGTAAATTTGGTTGGAAATACAGGAAAGTTGTTTCATATTTTTTTGTAGGTACCCATGAGCTCTACTTCAGAAAAAAATTTCATTGAAATATATTCACTATTGTAGGAGTTATGGTCGTTTGAAGATTGGACCATTTTTTATGGGGTTTTTTTCATTTTTCGGAGCGAAGGAATAAGTTTTCGAATATTGTTTGAATTTCTACATATTCTCTATCAAAATACGCGTTGTTTGCTTTTTTAAACATTAAAATCGGCCAATCCGTTCAGAAGTTATGACGTTTTAAAGATTTAAGGGAAATTTCAGTGAAACATATCAATGGCATGGTCAGACATAGCTTCCAGTAAAGAATTTTTTTCTCGAAACTGAGTAGGATTTCGAGGATATGTGTAATAATAAAAATTGATTGCAATCGATCTCTGCAACTAAAAATATTTTTTTTAGAACGATCTGAAACACAGGAAATTTTAGGGAAACATATCAACGTATGGTCAGACATTAGATTTTCAGTAAGGAATTTTTTTCTCGAAACTGAGTAGGATTTCGGTGATATGTCTATAGACCAAAAATGATTGTAATTGATCTCTGCAACTAAAAATAATTTTTCCAAAACGATTTGAAATATTTTAATTTTGTCGAAAAATTTGTCGACCTACTCGAATTTTTTTCTCGAAAGTGCGTAGGATTTCGAGGGTATGTCTATTGACAAAAAATGATTGTAATTGACCCTCGCAACTGAAAATATTTTTTCCAAAATGATTTGAAACTTTTCAATTTCGCTGAAAAATTGCACATCTTCTCGAATTTTTTTCTCGAAAGTGGGTAGGATTTCGAGGGTATGTCTAATGACAAAAAATGATTGTAATTGACCCTCGCAACCGAAAATATTTTTTCCGGAATGATTTGAAACTTTTCAATTTCGCTGAAAAATTTCAGCACCTACCCTCTGCCGATTTTTCTTAAAGTTAGTTTTTAATTTTTAATACATTTGGTTAGCACTGTACAGAAAAATTGTCTAATACTTTTTTGTAGGTACCCATGAGCTCTACTTCAGAAATAAATTTCATTGAAATATATTCACTATTGTAGAAGTTATGGCTATTTGAAAATTGGATCTTTCTTATGGAGTTTTTCTCATTTTTCGAAGTGAAGGAATAAGTTTTCGAATATTTTTGGAATTTCTACATATTCTCCACTAAAATACGCGTTGTTTGCCGTTTTAAACATTAAAATCCGTCAATCCGTTCAGAAGTTATGACGTTTTAAAGATTTAAGGGAAATTTCAGTGAAACATATCAATGGCATGGTCAGACATAACTTTCAGTAAAGAATTTTTTTTCTCGAAACTGAGTAGGATTTCGAGGATATGTGTAATGATAAAAAATGATTGTAATTAACCTCTGTATCCGAAAATAATTTTTTTAGAACGATTTGGAAAATTTTATTTTCACCGAAAAATTTCAGCATCTTCCCGAATTTTTTTCTCGATAGTGGGTAGGATTTCGGGGTTATATGTATTGACCAAAAATGATTGTAATTGACCCTCGCAACCAACAATAATTTTTTCAGAACGATTTAAAATTTTTTAAAATTGAACTTAATTCACCGGTGTTTATATTTCGTTTCCTGTCAAGATTTTCATTCAAATTTTCCTTCGTTGAGTTTTCCGGTCACATTTCCGCCGCGATAACCTAATTAAAATATTCCATTAAAAGTAACGGCTCGGAATGCGTGTCGCGTCGACGTTCCAACTGCATTTTCGTTTTAAATGGACCCGGGGACGTAAAAAATGGTGACGAATGCCGGCAATATTTTATGGAAATTCGATAGAGAGTTCCTCGAATTAAAGGGAACAAAAGAAATAGGCCATTTTTTGCTGTTTTACAACGCCCTGATGAATTGTCGTTTTTAATCGGGGCGCGAGAAGGAAGAGGAAATCTGTACGCGTCGTAAGAGCGTATTAACGTTATAGAAACTCTGGTCAGCTTCGAAATCGAACATTTATTTCATAAGCTGTACGATCGAGCGAATGCTAAAATCGATCCCCCGCAGCTGCGACAAAGGATTAAGCTTTCGTGCAACACATGTCGCGCGTTTGTTAAGCAAGCTTCCGCGTCCTCCAAAACTCTTCGTACTTTGCATAATTCGTGTGCGATGATTATTACTCGTTTCAAACCCATTAACGTACGAGAATCGAATGCAGACAAACTGGATCGTTTCGAGTCTGCAAAAAGTCACACAGAGCACTGAAAATGTCAAATTAAGAATTGCAAATATGCATTTGAGATGCAGTTTATAATTACGTATGTTTTAAATGTTTATTCTTCTATTTGTTTGGTAAGATTTACCAAATTTCGATTTAATTTCAAATAGTTTGTCAAACCTACATTATTTAATTTTGTATTTATTTTTGTAAACTCTGTTGATTTTAATATACAAGACTCGATGATTAATGAGAAACTTCTAACGAGTCAGATTCGTTAATTTACGCCATTTTTCTGGCCCCTGACGGGAAATGGTAGAATGGAAAACAAAGTGTGGGTAAACTTGCAATTATTGCTACGCCCACCGCGCGATCTGACGTCGAATTTTAAACGAATAGGTTCGCGCGATACGCCCCACCATTTCCGAAACATTAAATCTGGGAAGATAAGCCGTATAGACTTAACTGCGTTCACCGGTTGGAGTGCCTTCAATAAAAACGTAATTTCGTCGCGACGAATGGTTTCCCATGGCCGTCTACCCGCTTCTGATAATACCTCCATGGGACGGGAGTGCTTCAATTTAACTTAAACCTCGTAACAATACACCCAGCAACCTCGAACTTTCGCGCGAAACTTTCGGGTCATATTTTTCCGGGAGGCTCGGGGGCGAACCAATGCTTAGATTAGGTTAGCTTACTCGAGAACACGAGGGCCAAAAAGGAGCAGAAATTTATGCTGAAAACATGCAACATCAGATAATAGCTTTAAAAATTTAAACGAAGAAAAATTTAATTTGTAATTTTCAGAAAATTCGTCGATGTTTCAATTGCTTCTAAAAGCTTCTTTACACCTTCTTGTTTTCAAAATTTAACTGTATATAACTAGTAATAAAATTGACATTTGAATATAAATAAAATAACTTTAAAATAACTTTTTCTTTGTCTAAAAAAATTGGCCTGCTTTTCATTTAACAGTGTCAGAATAAAAACAAATAACTAAAAACTTAGTTCCCTGGATCTATTTTTAATCGTAAGCTTAAAAATTACAAACCAGGCAACTATGATTGCAATTACGACAATTACATTCTCCTTTAACGTTACAGGCCAGCATAATTCCGGTTAAATTACATTGATAAAATTCTAGAAGCGATGTAATTTTTAATTTTCGGAATCGTTGCAACCGTTTTTTGCTCGACGATGAAAAGAATGTAATTTTCGTGGAGCAGGGAAATTTAAATTGAAGCTCGTAATGAAATATATGCATTACACGTGCGAAGATGAAATGTACGCATATCGTAACGAACATTTCGCATAAATTTTTCCCCGTTGGACGGGGAGATGTTTAATTTTTCTTTCGAAACATCGGATATTGTGTAAGAAAATATCTGATTTTAGGAACGGACCGAGAAGACGAAGACTGATACGAGAGCACGTAGATAGCAGAGGGCTTTAAAATTTAAATAAAGATCCTCCGTCGAATGGTTTCAGGAAGCAACTTTCACCCCTCTCATTCTACGGGGAATTACATGGCTCCCTATCTCGCTACCTTTAACAGCGCCTGGAAGCTTGATTTTCCTGATCCCTTAAGATTCTTCGAGGCATGTTTTATTTAAAGATCGCGAAACATCTTGAAAGCTTATCTTTGATGTCGGGGAGATACATGATAAATAATTTATGTTGCTAAACGGGTTAGACATCTTTAATCCCGGCCTCATTTCATAAACGTTTCCTTTTTAACTCCATCTCCGCCTAAACGGAACACTTTCGTTTTCCTTTTCCTTTTCCTTTTCTTATCCTAACTAAATTTGCCCAACAATTTACAATCTCGCGCTTCCGTTGAATACTTCAAATTTAAATACTTTCCGAGCCACTCGGAGCGCCCAACGAGCATGCAATTTTATTTACAAATTAACTTTGTCGCTTTGAATTTAAAAAAAAATTATTCTCCACGATGAGGAGTATTGATTGGTCGGTGGATTATTTTTGTTTCTTTCCATCGCTGAAAGCGGAATGGATAAAGAAAAGTGATACGGGCGGCAAGTGGATGTAAATTACACGAAAATTTAAATAAACATCCCCCTTGAATTGCTCTGTAGAACAAAATGCATTCTTTTGAACCTTCTTCCCTTTATCCCGCCACTTCCCATTGATTTCCCCGGCTCTGTTAAAATTGCTTTCATTTTCTACTATTTTCGAGTTCCTTCCAAGTGTTCGGAGAAACTGTTCAGAGAAACGGTATTTTATTAAGAGCAGATACAATGAAAACAGCAGATAGCAATATTAATTTCGAGAATTAATTTAATAAGAATCTTCAAAATTGAAGGCACGATATTTCATGCTAATGTTTTCTTCAAAG